AGTCTCGCTCTGTCGCCCAGACTAGAGTGCAGTGGTGCGATCTCGGCTCCCTGCAAGCTCCACCTCCCAGGTTCACACCATTTTCCTGCCTCAGCCTCCCAAGTAGCTGGGACTACAGTCACCTGCCACCATGCCCAGCTAATTTTTGTATTTTTAGTAGAGATGGGGTTTCACCTTGTTAGCCAGGATGATCTCCATCTCCTGACCTCGTGATCCGCCCGCCTCGGCCTCCCAAAATGCTGGGATTACAGGCATGAGCCACCACGCGTGGCCCGTTTCTGCAATCTTGATGGCTAGAAGAGAGAAGTCCTCACTATGGTAAAGCTGCCAGCACGCTTCTAACTCATGTTTTGGGGGAAGACACAGACACAAATGGGCCTTTGGTTTTGCAGTAGTAACAGCAGAATTCTCTTCTGGCATGGAGGAGTCTGAGGCATAAAACCACGTAATGGGTTATCTTCACTGTGGGCAAAAATTCATAGGGGAGAGGATTTCAGTTCTTTGGGAAAGAGGCTGACACCAGGTTGAGCGCAGAAAAAGCTGAGAATAGGGGTCCTAGACTCAGTGACATATCCCCGCTACAGGGAGAGGCAGGCCCGTGCTCCCACATCAGGGGCTCAGGTGCGAGGGAGGGTCAGGAGAAGACCCCTTAGCAGGGCCCAGCCCAAGGACCACAGGAGCTCTGTGTGCCAGAATCCAGTTTTGATGCTTGTCCATTCCACTATAGGATTCCTGCTCAGACCTTTAGTAAAGTTTTGCTCAGCTTTGCTCTTATGTCCTAGCCTTGACTATGCTTTGGGGAAGCACCTGTATCCATGGGGTGGCCATGGTGAGTGTGGCTGCAGCCTGAAGAAGCTGGTTACAGGGGGATAGGAGATGACATGCAGGGAATGATGGGGTGGCTTAAGGTGAGATATGGGACTGGTGCCAACCAGAATGGATTTGTGGGACATAGAAGCATCGCTGGGCATTTCCAAGAACACTGAGGGGAGGTAGTCCTGGTGAACAGTGCATAGGATGCTCCATGGATAACAAGGGCAGGCTGGAGACCTTGGCACCTAGAGGAGAGAATGAGCCACACAGACCCTGCAGGAGGTGGATCAAAGACCAGTGAACCAGCTAAGCAGGTCAGGGCTCCTTAGTCCCCTGGAGGTCCTCTGGCCCCTCCATCACTCAGCAGGGAAAGGCATTCCTCTGAGGTTGTTCCTTGCCCCTCATTGCACGGGCTCTGTTGACCACCAGTCCCAACTTGGTCCAGCCCGCTGCATTCTGCTACATCCTGCCCACTCCATGTGGCTTCCACTGGCTGCACAATGAAGTCTAACTCTTAGATTCAAAAAACCACTGCCTCGAGGCAGGGTGGAGAGGATGTGGCTACCAGCAATTCACATGAACTCAGTGTGTGTCAGCAATAAGATTTCTCACCAGAAGTAAAGAAGCAGAGAGGAAAATGGGCCTGTTCTCCATGGGGCAGGTCAGACAGACTTGGTCTCACTTCACATTCCAGGCATCACATTTGAAGAAGGGGATTTTGCTTAGATGAAGGTACAGGAAGGTGGGCGCTTAAAACCTCTTAAGTTTAGGGTTGGATATGGTGGCTTATGCCTGTAATCCCAGAAATTTGGGAGGCCAAGGCAGGTGGATCACTTGAGGCCAGGAGTTTGAGACCAGCCTGGCCAACATGGCAAAACCCTCTTCTCTACTAAAAATACAAAATTTAGCTGGGTGTGGTGGCACCTGCCTGTAATCCCAGCTACTTGGGAGGCTGAGGCAGGAGAATTGGCTGAACTTGAGAAGCAGAGGTTGCAATGAGCCAAGATTGTGCCACTGCACTCCAGCCTGGGTGACAGAGCAAGGCTCTATCTCAAAACAAAACAAAACAAAACAAAAAACCTGTTAAGTTGAGGTGGCTTGAAGAGCTGCCTGTCAGAGAATGGCCAGATGCTCACCAATTCTGCCTGCATCCATAGGAAAACTACCTTTCCCAGCCTCCCTTGCAGTTAGGTTGAGGCCACATGACTGGGATCTGACCAATGGAGTGTGAGTAGCAGGGATATTCGCCATTTCCACACTTGGCCAAAAACCCCTGTGAGATTCTTTTTGCTGCTTCTCCTTACCTGTGTGGGTGAAAACGGAAGACCCCAAGATGATGGACTCTGGTGATGGAAGGATCCTGAATCACTGCCATCACTTTGGGAAATACTTGCCAGAAAGCAGCCTCTCATTGGACTTTGCATGAAGTTTTCTGCCCAACCCTGAAATGAGTCGTCTTGGGTAGTAGTGAGTTGTCATTGGCAGCGTTTGTAGAGAGACTGGACTATCATTTTTGGGGAATGCAGAGAGGAGACTTCATGGAGAGGGACTGGATATTATGACCTCTCTGGTATATGCCAGCACTGATATCTAATGTGTAATTTAGCAGTATTCTTCTGAAAGTTGTTGAATTAAAGCAAATGGGATTGAAATCCCAACATTTCCCCAGAGTACTGGGCACTATCATAACCTCAGGATTAATGCCATCTGTCTTAGTCCATTTTCTATGGCTATAACAGAATAGCATGGACTAGGTTATTTATAAAGAACATATATTTCTTTGGCTTATGATTCTAGAGACTGGGAAGTCCAAGAGCATGGTGCCAGCATCTGGCAGGGGTCATCTCATGGCAGAAAGCAGAAAGGCAAGCAAGCTCTTAAGAGAGAAAAAAAGCGGGCTGAACTCCCCCAATAACAAACTCTCTCCCACCATAACAGCATTAATCCATGACCTAACATCTCTTAAAGATCCCACCTCTTCGCATAGTTACAATGGCAATGAAATTTCAGCCTGAGTTTTGGAGGGGACATTCAAATCATAGTATCATCAGAGACCAGTGTCTTGCCAGATGATTTCCAGGGATGGAGGCTTCAGGATCACCAGCTACAAGAAGCGGGTTTTTCAGAAAAGCAACGAGCCAAGAGGGTCAGAGTCTGGCTCTCTTGGTTGGAACAGTCAGAGGAATCAGCAGATGGGGATGTATTTCGTGCTGAAAATTTCTCCCACTCATGTCTGGCCAACCCACAGACCAGTGTGTGTAACAGGAAGATGAGCCCTGTGTGTAAACAGGAAGATGAGCCCTCATCTGACTAAACAACTCTGGTGAATAAGAAATAAATCCTAATGGCTTCTGTCACCTTCCAAACCAGATGGACTTTTTCTTCCACCCATCCTCTCAGGAGAGAAAGGAGTCATAATCCCCAATATTGTCCTTACTTAGTCTGTTTAGAAGAAGGATTTACTCTTCTGGAACACTCCAGGACTCTAGGAGCCTGACCCAGAGAGGGATTAAATGACCAAGATCAAATTTACGTTTTAATATGATGCAGTTAATCCTCAGTGATAAACATGGCATATGCCACTGTTGAGAAGATGCTCCAGCCTAAAGAGGTAGGTCAGCAAATGTGGGTCTCTCCAAACAAAGCCCCGTCACCGAGGACAGCCCCACAGAGATGAATGCAACAGGCCCTTCTGCTTTGGGAATCTTCTCTAGTGAGGAGGGGGTGGTCTGATGGAGCCCTCCCTCACTGTGGGGAGCAGCTACCTAGCAAGTACAAGGGGTCATAGGGCCAAGGACAGAGTGGGTGATATTCTCCAAACCACATGACTGGGCTCTATCCTCAAAAGGGAGTTGACCAAGTTAAACCACACAGCAAATTTGCAACACTACATTGTAGGCACTTTATGAATCTCAAGTGGAGGGAGAGAAGGTTCTACTTCACTCGAGGGCTGTGTCCTTCTTGAACATTTTCTGGGTAATCAAGTGCAAATCCCTAATTGCTCTGCTTGAGTTTGCCCTGAGAAGTTCAACCTCTGCCCCTTCCTGACTCCTTTGGTTCTTCAAGGACCCTCTAGACCCCCTGGTGTTGAAGATCCCCCTACCCCATAAGGACTGCAGCATACTCCCAAGGAGTCCAGTTACTTTGCTTTATTTGCAGACTGAAGTTGGCTACATAAATCCATTGCACAGTCAACACATGTAGACTTGGCAAAAAGAGAGGACAATACAAAAATACAACTCTTGATAGTAAATGAGAGTGCCCTCAGCTCATCCCAGTCTGTATCAGTGGGGAGCCGGTGTTTAAGGTCAACATAGGAGGAGGTGCTGTGGAATGAGGAGGCATGGAGGCTTCCACCAATGTCATTGACCCAGTAAGATCCTGGGCTGAGCTGCATGGGCTCTTCTTGGCTGTGTGGTCATTTCTGCTGCCTTCAAACTTGGTCACTTCCTCCTCTAGGAAGGGGAAGAGAACCTCCCCAAGTCATCGGACACCCTCCACAAGGATCTGATCAGGGGCTGTGCAGTCGAAGCCAAGTGTATCCCTGGGACCACTGTGAGCACCCTTCCCTGGGGCACCTCCAGCCTGGGCTGTCTGCCTCTGGGCATCCCCGATGAAAGGGCTAAGAGACACAGCACAAAGGATCAACCTCTTAAAAGTTGGGGGGAAGAGGGGAAGGGAGACTGAGGAAGGGGTTCTACTTGGGCCTCCCTTTGGTAGATTCCAGAAATGTTTACTGATGCCAACTTCTGCTCCTAGCCACTGGCCCCTTCTTGGAGGAAGCCCAGGTAGCCTCTTGGTTCTGAGGAACCGGAGTCCCAGGCCTTGGAGGACATCCCCAGTCAGAGCTGGTCCCAGCCCACTGACCAGAAGGTCTGAAGGGCTAGCATTTCTGTGGAGGTGGGCAGGTCTGCTGGAGCGGCAGGTGGCTCTCCCTGTTCTTGTGGCTGGAGCCAGGGTCCTTCTCTGCCTATAACTACCCCTACTCCCCCAACCCAACACCCCCTCCCTTCCTTCTCCCCTCCTCCCTTCCTTCTCCCCTCCTCCCTTCCTTCTCCCCCTCCTCCTTTCCTTCCCCCTCCTCCTTTCCTTCCCCCTCCTCCCTTCCTTCTCCCCCTCCTCCCTTCCTTCTCCTCTCCTCCCTTCCTTCTCCCCTCCTCCCTTCCTTCTCCCCTCCTCCTTTCCTTCCCCTTCTTCCTTTCCTTCCCCCTCCTCCCTTCCTTCCCTCTCCTGCCTTCCTTCCCCATCCAGTTTTCTCTTCCCACCCTGTTGTAGGCGGCGCTCCAGCGTTGATCCCACCAGGACACCTGGACAGGCATTGTCTGTGACAATGGTGGCATTGGAAGGCCCTGGCAGGTGAACGCCCAGCCTCCCACCCAAGTCCTCATACTCCCCATGCACAAACCCTGCGGGAAGCAGGCCAGGGAGCGCAGCTCACTGTCTTCCCCCAACCAGCAGCCCCAGCCTGGCCACATCGCAGCCGCAGCAGAGGACACCATGAGCCAACGGGGGCTTATTCCCACCCTCGGCGGTCCCAGTGGGCTCAGCAAGGGACAGCAGACTTCTGGAGTCACGGGGCCTCGCTGCCTCCGCAGAAAGCGGCACTGGTGCTGGGGGAAGCAGGAGGCGGCCGGCCCTGAGGCCCATGGGCTGAAGGCTCAGGCCTCACAGGGCCCCACCTGCGGGGGACCCAGGCTAGGCCAACCCACCCGTGGCAGACCCTACCATCCCTGGCGAGTTAGGGGTCTGGAAGGCCGGGTGGAGCTTGGTCAACAGCTCGGGCTCCTCGCCCTGGGCCCCACTTTTCCCGGAGGCCTCGGGGGCACCCAGCGGGTAGGCCTCCCGGGCCCGGCCGGTCCTAGAGCAGGTGAGGAAGGCCAGGCAGGCCCCGCGGAGGCGGGCCAGGTCCCGGTGAGTGGTCTCGCTGACAAAGCAGTAGAGCACCGGGTCGGCGACGCAGTTGAAGCTGGTGAGCAGGAGGGAGAAGTGGTAGGCGTTGAAGACGCCCTTGGCGAAGTCGCAGCTGGCCTCCCAGACGCTGCGCACCAGCAGCAGCACGTGGTAGGGCAGGAAGCAGGCCAGGAAGATGACCACGGTGCTGAGCACCAGCCGCTGGATCTGGTCCTTGCGGCTCTTCTGGGTGCCGTGGCTCCGGCGCACGGCGCGCAGGATGCCCTGATAGGACGCCAGCAGCAGGCAGATGGGGAAGAGGAAGCCCACCAGGAAGCGGTAGTAGTTGATGGCGCGCTGCCATGCCTGGATGGGGTAGTGCTCAAAGCACACGCGGTGCTGGTCCTCGTCCTCGATGACCTCCTCGTGCATCAGGAAGTAGATGCTGGTCAGCAGCTCCTTGGCCCAGATGACCACGCTGACGCCGACGGCCGCCTTCAGGGTCCGGAACTGGTGGAAGCGGAAGGGATGGGCCACAGCCAGGTAGCGGTCCACAGAGATGCAGCAGAGGAAGCCCACGCTGATGTAGATGTTCTCGTAGAGGAGGATGCCGCACACCTGACAGGACAGGTCGCCGTGAGACCAGTTGTCGTGCTGCAGCACGTACTGCAGCCAGAAGGGCAGTGAGCAGATGTAGAAGAGGTCGGCCACCGTCAGGTTGCACAGGTACACGCCCAGCTCGTTCCGGGCCTTGATCTGCAGGTAGCCGAAGTAGAGGGACAGGCAGTTGGCCGGGAAGCCTACCACCAGCACGGTAACATAGACCACCGGGGCCAGCGTCTGGTGGATGGTGTGGTCGATGGTACAGCTCATGGAGGAGTTGTCTGCAGTGATGTTCCCCATCTTTGGGCCTGAAGGGGCCACACTCCTCATGGGCTCAGCGACTGGGCCTGTCTCTCCACCGCCATCCTGTTTATAGAAGGTGGTTCAAGATCTACCAAGGGCTAGGCATCGCTGGTGGTGGGCAAGACCCTGAAAGTCAGAGGCGGGAAAGCCTTATAATAGTAGCTAACATGTATGTAGCACCTACTGTGTGTCAGGCACCATTCTAAATTCTTTGCTCATTTAATTTAGAAGGTGTACTAGCCCACTAACTCCAGTTCAACTAGAGTATCTGAATGGTCGGACATGATGGCTCACACCTGTAAGCCCAGCACTTTGGGAGGTGGAAGGATCCCTCGAGCTCAAGAGTTCAAGACCAGACTGGGCAACATGGCAAGCCCTTGTCTCTATAAATAAATAAATAAATAAATAACAAGAAGAATAGATCTGAATGGGAGCCCCAGGCACGGTGGCTCACACCTGTAATCCCAGCACTTTGGGAAGCCAAGGTGGGCGGATCACTTAAGGTCAGGAGTTCGAGACCAGCCTGGCCAACATGGCAAAAACCCGTTTCTACTAAAAATACAAAAATTAGCTGGGCATGGTGGCGGACACCTGTAATCCCAACTACTCGGGAGGCTGAGGCAGGGGATTCACTTGAACCCGGGAGGCAGAGGTTGCAGTGAGCCAAGATCGTGCCACTATACTCCAGCCTGGGTGACAGGAGGAGACTCTGTCTCAATTAAAAAAAAAAAAAAAAAGAATATATCCGAATGGGTCACATACCAAGACACTATAGGGTAGTTTACGTCTCCCCTCCCCATTCCCTGGCTTTGCCTATTTATTCCCCATCCTTTATATATTTTCATGCTCCCTTGCTGTAGCAAGTAAGGCTGGAGGTTCTTTTTTTTTTTTCTTTTTTGGAGATGGAGTCTAACTCTGTCGCCCAGGCTGGAGTGCAGTGAAGGCTGGAGGTTCTTATGAGCATGTGCCTACCCTGAGCCTGCTCTCTCAGGGAGACGTGGGGCAAAGATCAATTCTAACCCCCACGCGACACCACCGGCCACCCTCCTCATCCACAGCAATAGGTGGCATTCACATTTGTCCTATTTGCTCACAGGAATGTACTCCTTAGGTCCATTTACACTGAGGCCACCGTCCCTCATGGGGGCCTCTCCAGAAGAGGCCCATCCTTGTCCACATTTTACCGCGTCCTGGCAAGAAACAAAAGCACAGTTTCCCACGAGCACAGCCTGCACTCCTGGGTGCTCACCCAGCAGGAGCCACCTCTCCTCTCCTCCATGGAGCTCCGGGAAAGCTCCGGGCCAAGGCCCCAGGACGTGAGCGCCAGGCCAGCCAGGTAGAGACTGTGCAAGTCACTTACCTTGTCTCAGCCTAGGTTTCCTCCCCTGTCAAACGGAGATAAAAACACCTGCCCTTGGGGGTTAGTATCAGGGCCACATCAAATAATGGGTATGCAAACAGGGCATTGTTTTTCCAGGAGCAAAGAGAAGGAGTAAGAGATTATAATCTTATTGGAATCAGTGAAAAGTTCCTATTTATTGGCCAGATGCAGTGGGCTCACACCCGTAATCCCAGCATTTTGGGAGGCTGAGGTGGGCAGATCACTTAAGGTCAGGAGTTTGAGACCAGCCTGGCCAACATGGCAAAACTCTGTCTCTACTGAAAATTAGTCAGGCATGCTAGCGGGCTCCTGTAATCCCAGCTATTCAGGAGGCTAAGGCACGAGAACCGCTTGAACGTGGAAGGCAGAGCACGCGGTGAGTCGAGATCGCACCACTGCGCTCCAGCCTGGGCGACAGAGTGAGACTCCATCTCAAAAAAAAGTTCTTATTATTGAGAATTTAACAAAGAAGATTCCAGATATTTGAATAAATTTGAGCAAGATAGAATACAATGTTTTGGTGGGGCGCAGTGGCTCACACTTGTAATCCCAGCACTTTGGGAGGAAGAGGCAGGTGGATCACCTGAGGTCAGGAGTTCAAGGCCAGCCCGGCCAACATGGTGAAACCCCGTCTCTACTAAAAATTCAAAAATTAGCCAGGTGTTGTGGCGGGCACCTGTAGTCCCAGCTACTCAGGAGGCTGAGGCATGAGAATCACTTGAACCTGGGAGGCAGAGGTTGCAGTGAGCTGAGATCATGCCACTGCACCCCAGCCTGGGTAACAGAGCAAGACTCTGTCTCAAAAACAAAAACAAAAAAACTTCTTGGATGAATAGGTGAACGACACTTCCCATCTTCCAGGTGAGGAAACTACGGTTCTAAAGGGCAAGTGACTTGCCTGAAGTCAGCCTGAGGAAGGAAGCGTTGCTGCTAGAATCCAGGTCTTCTTGCTCCACATCCCACCTCCCTGCCACATACAGTCTCTGCCTGAGACTCAGCTCCCAACCTCTCAGTTCCCAGAAAACAGGGACTCCCAGTCTCTGACTCACCTCTTCCGTCCTCTTCAGGGCACTGGCCTAGAATTCCAGTGATGGTGGTGGAGGGAGGTGCTTCTTGTTTTTGTTGTGGTAAAATACATGTAAAATAACATTTACCATTTTAGCCACTTTTTTTTTTTTTTTCCGAGACGGTGTTTCACTCTTGCTACCCAGGCTGGAATGCCATGGCACGATCTCGGCTCACCGCAACCTCTGCCTCCCGGATTCAAGCGATTCTCCTGCCTCAGCCTCCCAAGTAGCTGGGATTACAGGCATGCGCCAACATGCCCAGCTAATTTTGTCATTTTAGTAGAGACGGGGTTTCACCATGTTGGTCAGGCTGGTCTCAAACTCCCCATCTCAGGTGAGCTGTATCCATTAAATAATAACTCCCCAGCCCCTAGCAACCACCCTTTCTGTCTCTATGAACTTGACTATTCTAGGTACCTCATATAAATGGAATCAGACAGTATTTGTCCTTTTGTGTCTGGCTTATTTGATGTAGTATAATGTCTTCAAGATTCATCCATGTTGTAGCACACGTCAGAATTTTCTGCCTTTTTAAGGCTGAATAATAGTCCACGGTATGCGCAGCCCACATTTGGTTTATCCATGCATTGATGGACATTGGAATTGTTTTTACCTTTTGGCTATTGTGAATAGAGCTGCTATGAACATGAGCGTACCAAGATCTGTTCAAGTTCCCACTCTCAGTTCTTTTGGGTACATAATCAGAATTGGTACTGCTGGATCATATGTTAGTTCTATTTTTAATTTTTTGAGGAACTGCCCTACCATTTTCCGTAGTGGCTGCACCGTCTTACATTTCCACCGGCCATGCACAACTGTGGGTTTTGGGTTTGTTTGTTTGTTTTCATTTGTATGTTTTGGTGGTAAGAAAAAGGGGGGAAGGAACTGCTGAAGTCCATGATCCCAAAACTCTGCCCAGAGCCCAGTGAATCAGAATTCGGCCCTAGTCACCTTCTCTTGTCAGTCCGCCTGTCCCTGAATGCAAGCTCACACCTGTGGGGCCAAGTGCTTTGCCAGGCTTACATATGAGGAAATCCACAGAAGCTCATGTCCCCGAATGGTCCCCAAGGCACCTATCCAGGGCCGTTCCTCTTTCTGAATTTACTTCAGGTTCTCCACAGTCCACACAAAATCCACCCACAGGAAGATAAAATCCATTCACAAAAACACAGGCCCCCAGGCTCCCCCCAAACGGCAAATGAAGCCCCCATGAAAGCACAACCAGTCATCTTGGAAATTCACTGAGCGTCATCAGGCTATGGTTTACGAGTGGCGGGTGTATATACGTGTAGGGTGGTGCTTCCTCTTCCCTAGGCCAACAATAAGCTAATTCTGGCAACCAAAGTCAGAAACATTCAAGCCTACAGAACAAAGAAGAAACATTTACTGCGTTTAGATGAAAGCACCTCCTACGTTTATTTTGGAGAGAAAAGAGGGTTTTGGTATTCTAACGCTGCAGTGCTTGAACTTAGGTGCATCAGAATCCCCTGGGGAATTTGTTATGACAGATCGCTAAGCCTCACCTCCAGAGTTTCAGACACAGTGAGTCTGGGCTGGGGCTCAGGAATGTTACATTTCACACAAGCTGCCACGTGACGTGGATGCTGCCGACCCATGGACCACATTTTGAGGAGCAACGTGCTAGGACAGTCTGGAAGGTCCAGGGTTCAGCTCTTGAGTGCATGCCCTACAAGAGCTCCCAAGGCAGGGAAACAGAGGAAGCTGGCAGGGGAATGTGATCCAGCGGGACCTTGTGGGCACAACCAGGTCACAGCCCTTGGGATGTCTCCCGGCTGATTCAAGGCCCCAAGAAAAAGCCATTAAACCTGAGCACTTACACCTTTTATTTGCAACATACTTTACAGTTTACAGAGCTTTTCACCTCTGTTCTCTTGTCCAGTTTTAAAAACAGCCATTTAGAGATGTGTCCATTTTAGAGATGAGAAAACCGAGGTCAGACAGATGAAGCAGCTTGAACTATCCAGTACCCTGGCTTTCACTGCACAAGTGTGTGTAGAGCATCTCCGATGTTCACAGCACCAAGCTAGACATAGGGGACCTAGAGGTCCACAAGAAATGGCCCGGGTGTGATGGCTCACCCCTGTAATCTCAGCACTAGCTGAGGCGAGAGGATCGCTTGAGCCTAGGGGCTCAAGACCAGCCTGGGCAACATAGCGAGACTCTGTCCCTACATAAAATTTACAAATTAGCCAGCTGTGGTGGTGCACACCTATAGTCCCAGCTAATCAGAAGGCTGAAGCGGGAGGATCGCTTGAGCCCAGGAGGTCGAGGCCGCAGTGAGCCATATTCATGCCACTGTGCTCCAGCCTGGGTGACAGAGTGAGACTCCCCCATCTCAAAACAAACGAAATGCAAGAAATGGCTCCCAGTTTCAAGGAACCTCCAAGCTTGAAAGACAGGAATGTCCCATGCACAAATTACTAGCATGCAAGGCAGTGTATGGCGGGTGCAGTGGGCAGCTCTCCCACACACATTCAACACTGGTTTGCCCTTTTCACTCCCTGTGGGATGGCTGCTTCTCCGTGGTTTCAACCCCACCTACACTCTGATGACTCCCAGGTCTCTCCCAGGATGGAGGCATAACCGGCTTCCTGCCATTCACAGGACCCGTTCAGTGAGGCCCACGCTGGGTCCATCATTTTCTCCACTGGTCTGTTCTTGGAAGGGGCATCCTCACCTGCCCAATCACTTATGTCAAAAAATGGCTGGCCTTCAGCTTTCACCCACATCTCATCCACAGCATCCAGTTAATTTCCAAGTTCTACCACTTTTAACTCCTAAGTATTTCCTACATCCATCTCCTCCTCTTCAGCTCTCTTGTCAGCACCCTAGATGGGCTTGGTCAAGAGCTCCTTCCCAGAGTCAGTGCAACAGCCTCCTCTTGGGCTGCTTCCTGTCTCCATTTTACCATCTTCAAAGCCATCCTCTAAACAGAAATCTAAGCCAGTCACACCCTGCGGCAAAGACTTCCATGGTTCTCCGATCATCCACTCAGGCATCCATCATCCAGCCATCCATCCGTCCATCCATCCATCCATCCATCCATCCATCCATCCATCCACCCAAGTATTCATTCATACAACAAATACTCACCGAGTATCTGTTATACGGAAGGCACAACACTAGACACTGGCCCCTAGTAACAAGTGGCTTTTAGTCTTAAGGGGGAGGAGAGAGGACAAGTGAAACAAGCTCACAAAGAGAGTGCAGGATTTTGTGAGGGTTCATGGGCGAGGACCTCACCCTGTCAGGAAAGGCCTTCCTGAGCATCGGCAGTTACAGTAAGATCAGGAGAAAGAGGAAGTGCTGCCCAAGCAGAGGAGAGTTTCTACCTGTGGAAAATGTGTGGAAACAGCTGAAATGCAAGAGGAAGAGAAGGGGTGGCTCTGTGGAATTGAAAGTGGACTGGATCTAAATATGAGGTAGGCAGGGCGAGAGAGGAAACAGCTGTAGAACTGGCAAGCGATTACAAGCGAAGTGGGGAACAACCAGGGGCCAATCGGAGATTTTTCTTGGTGCCTGGTCCTTATAACCTCCCCAGAATTATTCGTTGGATGGATGGTGGAGAGGTGGGTGGGTGAATGAGTAAATGGAGGGATGGGGTAGCCAGATAGATGGATGACTGGATGCCTGGACAGATGGACATATGGGCAGCTGGAGAGGTGAGTGGATAGATGGGTGGGTGGATGGATAAGTGGATGGGTGAATGTATAAATGGATGCATGGGTAAGGGGTAGAGGGATAGCGGGATGAGTGAATGGGTGGACAGGTAGATGTATGGGTGGGTGGATAGGTGAGTTGATGGAAGAGTGGGTGGGTGGATAAGTGGGCGGGTGAATGTGTAAATGGATGCACGGGTGAGGGGAAGATGGATAGATGGATGAGGAAATGGGTGGCAGATGGATTATGGGTGGATGGATAAGTGAGTAGGTGAGTGAGTGGATAGGTAAATGGTGGGGGGTTGAGGCTGGGTGCTGGGACAGTGGGGGAATCATTAATAGAAACAGGAAAGTGAGGAGGAGGAATGACCGTGGTCCCCTCTCTGCTCAGGCTGCCTGAGCTGGTCTGAGGGTCCTGATTTTTCACCAGTGCCTTCCCTTCTACCGTTCCCTGAGGACAGGCACCCTCAGATGGAAACTCCGACTTGCCCTCTACCTCATCTCTACAGGAACCTTGCTCCTCGAAAATGAAAGAACACAGTGGATGCAAAAAATATTTCATAAATGGAAAAACACAGATATATAGAAGAACTAAGCCACGTCTGTCAAGGGCCCTGCACTTGCCAGGCAAGTTTTTGAATGTCTGTTCTCTCTTTCACCACCACTCTCATCAGCACCCACTTTACAGATGAAGAAACTGAGGCTCAGAGAGATGAACCAACCTGCTGAAGACTCTGCAGCTGAGATGCGGCAGGCCAGGTCTGGAACTCGGATTGGTCCACACTTTCCTTGATGCCGTGCTGACTGTCATGATCATCCTGGAACCACCACCCTCAAGCCGCCAGCTCAGCCAAGCTCCAGTCCTTACAGATGCTGCAGCAATGGCCACCAGGCTTGGTCCGGGACTGACCCCCTTGACCTGGACTACGCTTTAGCACGTCAACCATGTTTTCAACGCCCACTGAGGAAAACCAGCCATGTGTCCAGTCCATGGTTTGGGAGGGTATTGGGGAAAAGAATCAAAATAACACTTTATTACCCAGCTAAGAAATTGAGAAAAACAATAGAGTGATTCAACGCCTGGAAGCAAATCTTTTAGTAAACGCAAATCAGCATAGAGGCCTCTGAGGACTTCAACGACCAAGAGAAATTAAGCTCCCAACAGGAAGGAAAGGCCTCTCTGACTAAGCTAGGAGTCTCGTGCATGTCCCAAGTCAGAAGACAGAGGTGCCTAACTGCTGGATTCCAGCTAGCACATAAATAATGATCTAACTCGCTCCCCCTTCCGTGAGGCACACACCGGCACGCACACAGACAGTTACTCACGGTGCCAGGGCTGCTCACGGAGCCCCAAACCCACAAGAGCTGGGGAGTTTCCCGAGGGCCCAGCTTCCTTTTCCTTCAGTTGGCCAAACCTCTGCATGCTTTAAACAAGACTGTTTCATTTTCTGAAAGTGCTTTATTTTTCCTTCTGAGGACGGGGAAAAATCAGGATGCATTTTTCCTTAGTCCCCATTTCCCCCCAGATCGCCTCACTCCAGCAACCGTGTGGACCATAGCATCTGACTTCTAGAACCCTTGCCACTGTTTCAAAGGTCAGTCCCATCTGGGCTCACAAAGTCCCTGTGAGTCAGGTGGGGCTGGCATTGCTAAGCCATTTCTGAGAACCTGAAGCCCAGAGAGGCTAAAGCAGGGAGGCTCAAACTCACACAGTTAGTTGGGGTGGATCTGAATCCAGAACCCAGGTGTCTAGGCACCAGCTTGCTGCCTTTGAACTTTCTGGATCACAAGCAATAGCAAGAAATATACCTGACATCACGACCCAGCACACAGAGACACACACACACCCACACATCTGTACAAAGCAACAAACTTCCCCAAAGCAATACTTACCCTACTTCTTGCCACGCACTCTGATCATTTCTATTCGATTTCAATTTTTAAAATGCAGGTCATGAGTTACGAAGTTGATTTACTGACCCATGAATGGGTCACAACCCGCAGTTTGGAAACAGCTTGATGGACCCCCACCTGTACTTTCCAGCTTCTCCTAGAGCCTCAGGGCCTCAGGAAGGCGGTGTGGTCTCTGAAGACAGGTGAGGAGCAGACAGCTGCTGAAATCAGGACGGAGGAAGTCCTCTGAGTGGGGAGTCTGAAACGAGTCCTCTCTGACTCTGCCTGCCTCAGCTGGGCTCTGCCCTCAAACCTCAAACAGCTGGGCTTCCTGCAGAGGCTCTGCAGGAGCCTGGGCACCCTTGCAACCACGACCCCAGCTCTCCCTCCAGCGACTTCCCGCAGCCTGAACCTCCCAGCTCCGGCTAGAAAATCCCCAGCCGGAGGCTGCCCATTCCCGAGCTGAGGCAGAATCATGTGAACTCCAATGTGGTGTCAGGCTGGGCGGTTGCCGAGGAACCACTCGCCAGCCAGAGGCTGAGGGCGGCGGAATGGCTGTCTCCACGCATCCTCCTCTGCTCTCCATGCAACCCAGTCAGTGAGCAGCCTCACCGGGAATGTGAAAGCCTGAGCTAGGGGCGGGTGCCCTCAGGACTGCGGTGGGGGGATACAGGAGAAGGGGGTGGGCTAATTCTAGCCACCTTTCAGCACCTACAGGATACCAGGATCCAGGCAAGGGCGGGGGAAGCTGTCAACATCTGGGTCACTGGGGCTCAACCCTGGCCACGTGCATGAGAACATACCTGGGAGCCTATAAAAAAAAACAATGCCCGAGCCCCACCCAAGGCTGGTTAAATCATGCTCCCTGGAAGTGAGGTGCCAGCATCAATGGCTTTAAAGCTCCCTGGACTGTTCTAAAGTGCAGCGAAGGTGGGGAACCATGGATGTGGTGAAGCAGGTAGGATCCTGTTTGGCACAGCAGCAGAGTAAAGGCCATGGAGCCAAGGCTCTGGGCATGAGTAAGGATAGGGTGGGCATCAATGTTTGCAACTGTGTCAGACCCCAGAGCAGGAACCAAGCCCGGGGCTGTGGCCGTGAGGGGCCTCCTGGTTCTCAGGAGCACTTATTAAACTCCCTCACACACATAACACAGAGGATGGAAAGGCCCAGCATTTTGGCGTAACCACCTCCCTCCAAGGCAGGCTCATTGGAAGCTAATTATAAGCTACAATGCCAGAGCCAGGAAGCCAACAGACACACACGGTGCATGGGGCCACTGGGGGCGCGAGTCCTTCCTGCCGGAAGCAGCCACAGCCCTGTACTAGGTCCCTGATCTGGGGACTAACACAGTTTAAAACATGTCCATCTTATCCATGCCAAGAGCCTTGGCTCCACTCCCCTTGCTCTGCGGTAGGGGGTCTAAGGAAATCCCCTTCAGTGGAGCCTGGGCCTTCCAAGCAAATGCTACCACATAGCAGGCCTTTTAAAAACTATTTCCAGCCAGGCGCAGTGGCTCACCCCTGTAATCCCAGCACTTTGGGAGGCCAAGGCAGGTGGATCACCTGAGGTCAGGAGTTGGAGACCAGCCTGGCCAACATGGTGAAACCCCATCTCTACTAAAAACACAAAAATTTCCTGGGGGTGGTGGCATGTACCTGTAATCCCAGCTACTTGGGAGGCTGAGGCAGGAGAATCACTTGAACCTGGGAGGTGGAGGTTGCAGTGAGCCGAGATCGCGCCACTGTACTCCAGCCTGGGCGACAAAAGCAAAACTCTGTCTCAAAAAAAAGAAAAAAAAAGTTTCCTATGTCAGTTGCTTCTTGTAGACCTTATGTTACAAGCAAAGGCTTCAACTTGGTGTGGTGCAGTAGTGTGCATTTGGACACACGTGCTATTTCTGAGTTTCGGAAATGTGGCTGGCTTTCCCTGATGTCATATAGGAGGACTCAGGGGTTAGGAGCACAGAACTGACTGAGCAGTGACTGCCTGGCTTACCCCTAGGACACGACCTGCCAGAGAGAGCACCTCTGGCCCTCTACAGGGTGACCCGGCCTAACAGGGTGTGCACACGCAGACTGTCTACACCACCATCGTCTATACCTGCAGGAACCACTAATGGCATGGTGTCCCAGCCCACCTCCAGCACCGCCAGGGGCCGGCAAGCTGCCCCAGCCCCTCTGCAAGCAGCACATGCCCTACTGCACCTGGAGGAAGGACCATGCCTTTGGGATGAAGAAGGAGGGGTGAAACTTTCTTTGGTTTTACTCAAATCGGCTGAGCCCAGGTCTTTGTGAAATGCTAGCTCAGTAAGAGAAAAAAGAACCCATGTTCTCTCACGTGCCTGGCCCTCGAGGGGTTAGAAAAGAGCCTGGAGTGGCTCGCTATCAAGAGCTGCCTTTACCATTTCCCCAGCATTTGCTTTTTGCACTAGGTGCTGTGCTAAGCACCTTCCCGATCCTTTGTTTAATCCTTACATCAACTCTGTGTGGCAGGGATTATCCTGTTGCCCAGGCTGGAGTGCAGTGGTATGACCTCGGGTCACTGCAACCTCTGCCTCCTGGGTTCAAGCAACTTTCCTGCCTCAACCTCCCAAGTAGCTGGGATTACAGGCATGCACCACCACACCCGGTTAATTTTCTTTTTTTTTTTTTTTTTTTGAGATTCACTCTTGTTGCCAAGTCTGGAGTGCAATGGCGCGATCTCGGCTCATGGCAACTTCTGCCTCCCGGGTTCAAGCGATTCTCCTGCCTCAGCCTCCTGAGTAGCTGGGATTACAGGCATGTACCACTATGCCTGGCTAATTTTGTATTTTTAGTACAGATGGGGTTTCTCCATGTTGGTCAGGCTGGTCTTGAACTCCCGACCTCAGGTGATCTGCCTGCCTTGGCCTCCCAAAGTGCTAGGATTACAGGCGTGAGCCACCATGCCTGGCCCTAATTTTTGTATTTTTAGTAGAGATGGGGTTTTGCCATGTTGGCCAGGTTGGTCTCGAACTCCTGGCCTCAAGTGATCCACCTGTCTTGGCTTCCCAAAGTGCTGAGATTACAGGTGTGAGCCACTGCACATGGCCAAAACAACATCCATTTCTTATCTTGCAGTTCTAGAGGTCAAAAGCATGATGTGGATCTTACTGGCTAAAATCAAACTGCAGTCTGCAGGGCTGCATTCTTTCTTAAGGCTCTAAAATCCATTTCCTTGTCTTTTCCAGCTTCTAGAGGCTTCTAGCATTCCTTGGCTTGTGGCATCTTCCAACTTCAAAGCCCACAGCAGTCGACTGAGTCCTTCTCACATCCCATCTCCTCCTCTGACCCTCACGTTCCCTCTTCCACTTTGAAGGGTCCTTCCTTGTGACAATGCTGGATCATCTCCTTACTTTAAGGTCAGCTGATTAGGAGTCTTAACTCCACCTGCTGCCTTAATCCCCCTTTGCCATGTAAGGTTTTTTTTTGCATATTTAGTAGAGACAAGGTCTCACCATGTGGCTTATGCTTGTCTCAAATTTCTGAGCTCAAGCCATCCGCCCACCTTGGCCTCCCAAAGTGCTGGGATTATAGGCATGAGCCAACGTACCTGGTCCATCATTGTATTTTAATATTTACCAATGTAACGCATGGAAATATGTATGACTATTGGTTAATGCCTGTTGTCTCCTTTACACAGGAAGCTGCCTGGGGAAGGAGGAGCTGGATCTATTTCGTTCTTTGCTAGGGACCGTGCACAACAAAAACATGCTGAATGTTTGGGTGAATAAATGAATCTAAATTCCACTTCTTCCTGTAGCCTGCTGGGAAGACCAGCGTGGCTAAAATTGAAGTCAGAAGCTAACAATCTGAGGGAAACAGTCAGGATATAGGATGAGGCAACAAGAAGAGGGTTGGTTTGGACTCTCAGAGTGTGAGTGGGTGGCCTTAAGCGGAAGTGCATTTCCACGAAGGCCTGGTGCTGAACCGGGGACTTCCAGCCAGGAGGGCCTGTGGTCTGAGAAGGTCTGAGCTGCCTGGGGCATGTCTCCTGTCTGCAGCTGCAGCACAGACCACAGACCTGGAGGTTGCCATGGCAATCCCTGGGGCCTGCTGCCCCCACTGCCTGCAGAGCGCTCCAGCCCATCAATTAGTAACCTAATAATGTATGACAACAGTCACTCCAAATACACAGGAAGCAGCCCTCTTGAAAAACAAACGACTTCTCTAGCAACTCGAGAGCTTCGAAGATGCTCATTACACTCAACCCCGGGCCACCTGCTCAAATCTATTTTCTTGAATCCAAATTGCTCTCTCATTGGCTTCTCCCTCTTGTTTTGAAGGCCCAGGGTTGACAAAGCTGGGGACTGAAGCCTCAGAGGTTCCAGGGCTAGAGAGGCCACTGGGTAGGATGCCTGCTCCCTCAGCCCTGTGTCAGGTCCAGCGATACTGATTCTGACCAAAATAGACTGTGTGTGATAAGGCCCGTGTCTCTGGCTCTGCAGGTCCTCTCCTGGGAGAAACACTTCAACTTTTGCAAAAGATTAATTCATCACCATGGCGCCCAGAAAAAAAATGCAAAAGAGAAGACTCAAGTTGTGGCAGACCCAAGGTGGCTGCAAACTCTTTGAGATTTTCCTCATCGAGAGGTGGGGGGTCTAAATCCCCTCCCTTGAACCTAGGCAGGCCCTCTGACTGCCTGACCAACAGAATAGCGTGGAAGCAACGCTGTACCAGTTTTTGAGGCTAAGCCTGAAGAGACTGGCAGTTCCTACTTCCTGTCTTTTGGGAATAATTGTTCTTGAAACCTAAGTGCTATGCTGTGAGGAAGCCAAGCAGCCTCGTTGACAGGCCCACACTGAGCGGAACCAAACCCTGGCCAGCAGCTCCTGCTGCGCCCCCAGCTGACAGTCAGGTTTGACTTGTCTTGCATACCAGTATGTCATGTTGGATGAGGATGCCCCAGCCCTGGTAGGGCCATCTCAGCTGATGCTCCAAGGAGCAGAGATGAGCCATCCCCACCGAGCCCTGCCC